AGCCCACGCCGCCGTGACCCCTGACACCGGCGCGCGCAGGCCCAGAGCCGCCGCGCTCCGAGCCGGGCCACGCCCCTCCTGTCCAAATAGGGGCGGCCACTCCCCGTTCTTCCCACTGGGGCACCGGCCACGCCCCCTCTTTCCAATTTGGGCGGTGGCCTAGTCCACTTGCGGGCAAATTCCCGCCAAACCCCACCCCCTCCTGACGTGTGCAGCTCGAAGCCACGCCCCTTCCCTGAGGTAGCGTCGCGGCCCGGTGAGGCCTGCGCGCACCGCAGCCCTGGTCAGTCGCCCAGCCACAACTCCGCGAGCCCAAAGGTGCCAGGAACGCATCCTCTGCTCCCCTACCTGCCTCCCGTCCGAAGCCTTGTCGGGAGCACCACCTGGGCACTGTTCATCCTTCCACTCGCGCCCTGCCCTATGCCCTCCCCGCAGAGGCTGGCCCCTATGCGCTCAGATACTGCCCTGGTCTGTTCTACCTCACAGCCTCAGTGTCCCCATCTGTAAACTGGACTCAGCACAGGGCAGGCGCACCTGCAGGCTAGTGGCACACTGCTGGGAATGAGGTGATCACTTGTAACTACTCTCACTTCCGCCGTCCCCTCTCCTCCCCTAAAAAAAAATACCTGTCAATACCCAAACCATTCCTCCAAGCAACACCCCCTTCACCCTTGACCAAGACTGTCCATCCAGCTCACCTGGGTGTCCCCTCAGGGCCTGGTGCAGGGGAAGGAGAAATTAAGAGAACGCCCCTGCCCTTCCTTACTCTGAACTCACCAAGGCCTCTTGGGAGAGACCTTTAGCTCCCTCACTGCCGCATCCTGCCTCCATTAAAGTCCCTATTCCCTTACCTTCTAGCTGTCCAGGCTCATTCCCCGACTACCAGCCCTGATGGTTAGACGGCTCGGAGGAGTGACTTTATCTTGTTCACTGATATTTCCAGTGCCTAAAATTGTGTTTGGCACATAGTATATGCTTCACACAGATTTACTGAATGAATGACATGTGTCCCCAGAAAGGCCAGCACAGCACCTGGTCCACAAGCAGCTTCCGCAAATACTTGATTAAATGAGAGCTCCAGTCCCCTCAAGCACTTACAGTCTCCTTGTCCTTCAGGAGTGGGCTCCAGCCACAGAGAGGTGACCCTGAGGTTGTCAGGGGCCTCTCCTGGGCCCCCATAACACCCAGTCACATCACCCTGAATCCGCCACAGCCCAGCACCAGGTCCAGGGGGGTCGGTGTCCATGAAGACCTTGGTAGCCCATCCCCATCTCAGACTCTGACTCTGAATAGGTTTCTATTCATATTTTATTTTCTTTTTGTATTTTTTTAGTTTTTATTAAATAAAAGGAGCAGAGGGAGGGGGGCCTGTGGTCTCTTGAGCTGTGGGGGAGTCACAGGCCCACCCCTCCCTCTGTTCAAGGTGCACTGCGCAGTAGGCTTGAGGCATAAGCTGGGCGGGGAGGGCAGCTGGGAGTGCTGGGAGAGGTCAGAGGTCAGGACCTGTGACCCATTCACCCTTCCCAGGAAGACTCCTAGGCAGAGAGAGGGGCTCCTGGACCCTGACTGGGGCTCATCCTGAGGGCTGAGGGTTGGTGGGGCAGGGGCCTTGCTCCAAGCCCGAAGGTGGGACCCCAGGCCCGGCCCCTTCCCACCCCAGTGTCCGTTCATTGGAGGGTGCAGGGTGCTGGGGCAGTGTGGCTGGGCCCCTCACTCGTGGACGTCCCAGATCTCAGACAGCAAAGGCGGTAGCTTCTTGTCCTGGAGCCGCAGGGCGAAGACCTGCTCCGAGTGCACGGAGCTGAGCGTACGCAGGCTCACGAGCTTCATCAGCATCCGGGGGAAGCGCAGCTGGTCCTGTAGGGGGACGGGAGGGAGGCAGGCATGGCTCAGCTCACCAGACCACCTAGCAGGCCTCCCTCCGCAAGCCGAGCCAGGAGAGACAGAGTGGGTGTCAGCTGGACAGCATCTGGGGACCCCAGCCCCTGTGGCCCGAGGACAGACTGATGAGGACATTGGCCTGAGCTCAGACTGCTACCAGGGAGCCCAACAGAGCTGGGCTCGGACTAGGAAGCCAGACCCCAGCCCTGGGCTGATCCCACGTGGGTCTGGACTTCCGGGCCCTCCCCGCGCCGTCTGTACCTGGGGCCTCTTGATGCGGGTGTAGGAGAGCAGCGCGTCCACGTAGGGCTGCTGCAGGGCCTCGACTCGGCTCGGCTCCTGCACGTTGGGCCGGTCGGCCGAGAAGATGTTGATGGCGATGAGGAGGGCGTACTCGGCGTCGTCCAGGCCCAGCCGCCTCATGGCCCGGGAGAACTCGAAGATGGGGTTGATGAATTCCACCTGCAGGCCTGCAAAGGTGGGAGGCCCGACCCGATGAACACCCCACCCAGCACTGGAACTAGCCCCCAGCCTGGCCCAGGACGCTGCCTACCGTCAGCAGTGAGGAAAACAGCAGCAAGTTCAGTGCTGTTCACCCCGTAACCCCACTGCCTACCCGGACGCCTGGCACAGAGCAGCTGTGCTATAAACCTTGCCCGGATGAAGGACCAAGTAACGAGAGTGAACATTTATCTAGAGTTTTCTACTCCCTCAACACCACCTTCACTTCATTCCTGGCCTCCCAGGATCTCTCCTCAGGAAAAGGAAAGATTTTTCAGCCTAGGTTGCATTATGTCACCCCCTGTGGTGGCTTCCACTGCTCTCAGAGGAAAGCCCAAACTCATTTCCAAGAGTGACTCATTCATTCATCCAACTTCATTGAGCACCTACTGCATGCCAGGCCCCAGGGCAGAGTATTTATAAGACAAAGCCCCGACTCCATAGTACTTGGGTTGACGGGACATATCCATCCTGTGAGATGGTGATGAGTTCTACGGATCAGGGTAATGGGAGCCACTGAGAATCACGTCAACATCTTAGACAAGAGGGTTACCGGAGGGGGACACCATAGGAAGGCTTGTTGTAGGGTGTCTGAGCCAAAGGAGGGGAGGGAATGAGTTACCAGGATATGTGAGTGTTCCAGGTTGGGTACCACCCATCTGTTCTGCCTGGGACTAAGCTTCCTAGGCCAGGAGACCTCTAATATGAAAGCTGGGAAGTTCAGGCAAACTGACGCAAGTTGGTCACCCTAGTTCTGGGCAGAGGGACCAGCAAGGACAAAAGCCCTGAGGTGGGAGCACAGTTGGTGGGTTCCCCTAAGAGGGAGGCCAGTGTGGCTGGAGGAGGATGAGTGAGGGGAGGGTGGGAGGTGAAGGCGGAGAGGGAACGGGGCCAGACCTAGCAGGGCCTGTGGGCCCGGTGAGGACTCTTAGCTTTTCTCCCAGTGAGACAGGAGCCACGGACATGTGCTAACCTGGTTATTAATAGGATTCTTCTCCCAACTGTGTGAACAAACACACTGGGCTGGGGTGGAGACAGAAACCCATGAGGAGCCCTTGCAATGCTCCAGAGAAAGCCACCTGAGGCCCGGACTGGGGCTGTGGCAATGGCGGAGGGGGGAGTGGTGGGACCCCAACCTCCTCTCCAGCCCCACATCCCTGTGCTCCAGCTGCCTGAGCCTCCTTGTAGTTCCTTAAAACTGCCCAGCTCTTGCCCACTGCAGGACTTTGCACATGCTGATACCTCTGCTGGAAACATTCCCCCACCCTCCAGTGCTCCCCTGCTAAGCTTACACTCAAAGGGTTACTGGCACTGTCTTGGGTGTTGGGAGAGCCAGGAGTTAGAGGAAGGGAAGATGGGGTTAGGAGGAGGTGTCTAGGAGTACAAAGAAGTGCCCCCAGGGAGAGTGATGGGCGGGAACAAAACTCACCGAGAAAGCCCAGAGGCCGAGAAAGCGAGGCCTCTGCACACACATTCCCTGGTGGGTGATGCTACACCCACCTCCCTTTTCCCAAGTGTTCTTTCCCACTCTTCTGGCCTCAGTTCAACTACACCTCCTCCAGAAGCCCATCGTCTAGGTTACATCCAAGTAAGTGACCTTGGAGGGCAGAGGCCAAGGCTGCCTTGCACAGTTGGGGAGGCTGCCCATTTCACAGTGGCCTGAGATCCAGCCTCCCTCAGTGAGACCAGGTTTGGGGATGAGGGAGCAGCTTTTCTTAATTCCTATCGAGACACCCGATGTGATAGCAGAACCCCTCTGCCTCACCCTGCACTCTGTCCCACCGTGCAGAGATGGTACTCCTGTCTCACTGCAGGGTGGGCTCAGCGCTCACCCCATTTTAGAGATAAAGAAACAGAGGCTCAGACTGGGATCAGAGAGCCCGAGGTCTCCAGGCCAGCAGGGACCCAGCCAGGGTACCACCCAAAGCCAGGGTGCCACCCCTGCCCCCACCCCCAAGCCTGCTCTCTGCCGTACCCGCGCGGTGGAAGTCATCCTTGCTGTAGGTGAAGTCCTTCAGGAAAGTGATGCACTCTGTCTCGTGGTTGTAGCGTCTGGCTGTCTCCAGCAGCATGATCTGAGGGCAGCAGGGAGAGGGGTCAGTAGGAGCAGGGGCCTGAGGCCTCCCTGTAACCCCTTAGCCACTGTCCCTCCTCTCCTGGCCTGAATGGGGGCCCTGATCTTGCCAGCATCATTCCTCACCTCTCTGCCCCGACCCCATTCTCCAGCCACACCTGCAGTCAGCACGCTGGCCCTTCTGAGCTCTTTCCTTCCTCCAGGTGCAAGACGCCCAGCACCCTCCGCTTAGGACACTCTCCCCAGGTGCTTATGAGGCATTTTCATCTCTTTCGTTCACTGCCACACACCCAGCATTTGGAAAGGGGCCTGGCAAATACCAGGCTCTCAACACTTACTCATTACCACTGTTTTGGTTCAAATGTCAACCCCCCAAATAAGCTCTTTTGGTACTTTCTCTAAAGTGCGTCCCTCCAGAACAATCCTCTATTATCCTCATCCTCAGTTCCTGTTTCCTTTCTCTCCTTGCCTCCTGGAAGGCTCTGATGACTTGTTTAGTAATCTGACATTCTCCTGTAGAATATCATGCCCACGAGAAGAGGGCAGGGACTGGAGTCTTCCTTGTCACTATGTGGCCAGCATCTGCCCTGGGGCTCATCTGTGGGGTTCCTCGAGGGCAGGTTGGGTGAGCTGGCCATTACCTCAATGGTAGATGCCTTCAGGAGGGCAATCTGGTCCTCGCGACCCAGCTGCAGGAAGCCAGGAACCTGCTTGGCGAAGTCCACGATCTCCTGGACTGAGATGATGGCCAGTTCCGTGAAGTGGGCGAAACGCTGCTGGCGAGCATCGCGGGACTGGGGGTCTGCGCCCATGGGCCAGGGCTGGGGACATGGGGGGCCAGGTTACTTTCAGGACTTCTCCCGTGAGCCCAAGGCTATGGGTGCCCCTTGAGGCAAAGCCTACACCCTCGGAGACCCTCCTCTCCAAGCCCCTGCCCTCTAGAGCCTCATTCTCTCCCAACGGCCTGTTGGCCTGACCCCGCTGGGCCCATCACCCCTCCAGGCTGTGGAAGGGGCAGTACCGTGACTTTGGGCTGGTCAGAGAAGGAGCGTTTATTGCACTGCAGCTGGGCCGCCACCAACTGCTGGATCATTAGTTCCTGAGCGGCTGTTAACTGGACACCTTCACCTTCTCCGGTGCCCTGGCCACCCCCGTCGGACCCTCCAGGGGAGGCCCCAGGCCCGGAGGCTGAGCTGCTGCTGACTCCCGGCCCTGGCAGGGGAGACTGCTGCTGCTGTTGCTGCTGCTGCTGCTGCTGCTGCTTCCGAATCTTCTTCTTCCGGATCTGTTCTTTGGAGAGGACACCTATTGGGGAGACCCGGGACTCAGCAGAGGCACCAAGCCTGGGCAGGGGCCAGGCCAGCCCACTCCCTCCCAGGCACTCACACTGCTCCCTCATCCCGGCCTCCTTGCATTTTCGCAGCCGGCACTGCTGACACTTGCGCCGCATGAAGGCGTCCATCTGGCAGGTTCCGCCACCCCGGCAGGCGTAGCGCCCGGCCCCACCTCGGATGACACTGCGCCGGAAAAAGCCCTTGCAGCCTTCACAGCTGAGCACGTTGTAGTGGAAGCCGGAGGCTGTGTCCCCACACACTTGGCACAGCTCATCGCCCAGCATCTTTGGAGCTGGGCCCTTCTTTCGCTTGCGCTCCGGCTCCTCTGCTGGGTCTAGGATGACTGGGGTGGGGGGACAGTAGCCATGAGAAACAGAGCCGCAGAGGTAACTAGCGGCCAGAGGGTAAGGTCCATGAGAGATCGGAGGCAAAAAGCCACAGTGTGGCGGGGGATACCAGTTGGGGAGATGGCAGTTCAGATGGAGAGATGTGTGTGTCAGTGAACCCCATAGAATGGCTCCAAATAAGAGGAGTCAAAGATGGACAAAAAAAAACCAAACAAACAAGAAACTGGGTCTACCCACCCCCATTTTTTATCTTTGTTCCTTCCAAGATCCCTCCCCAAGCCTCCATACCAACTCCAAGTCCTTCCCAGGCCTCATCTCACCCACGATGGAGGCTGAGCTGGCTCCATCAGTGCCTGGGACATCAGGGTCTGCCCCTCCCAGCCCATCCTCCTTTCCATCAGGTGAAGAAGATGGGGTGCTGGGCTGAGGGGGGGCATTTCCTGGGAGAGGGAAGCACAGTGAGTTTCTCCTGACAATTACTTGATGTGGGGTATGGCTGGGTTGGGAAGTGGGTCACTCACCAGGCAAGGGAGTGTCCAGGGAACTCGTGGTGGGGGTGGACATGGTGCGTCACGGAGCAGCCTGCATAATATAGGGTACTGAGAACCTTGTGGGGCCAGGGAGGGTCAGGTTAGGCCAGCCACAGGTCTTGTTGGGGGCATCCCTCTTTCCTTCATCTCTTCAGATTCTTGCCCCTGCCAGCCTCCATACACTCCCATCTAATTCTAATAAGGCCCGCCCCCTTCTGGTTTAGGACAGCCTTCGGCTTCATCTCAAGCCCCGCTCTCTAGACTATGCCCCTCCTTCAGGCTCCATCCACTCCAGATCCCGCCCACCTGCTTTTACCAGATTCTGTCCCTTCTTCTTCAATTGTGCTCTGCCCTCACTTCCTCCTTCCCACCCAGTTTCACCCCACCTACTCTTACTCAGCCTTCACCCAACCTGCGCCAAGGAAGCACCCCTATCCCTCATTCTGATCCCACCTCCTCCTCTCATGCCTTGCCCACATCTTTTCCTTCTAAGACCCTCCCGAAGCCATCCAGGTCCCGCCCCATCTCCTCCCATCACGCCCCGCCCCCACACCTCTCTCCAGGTCCCGCCCCTTTCCGAACACCAGTGGGGGGCGGGGCTCATGGCTGCGCGAGGGTCTCGTGAGCCGCCTCTCGCGGGGTCTCCTATTCCGTTGCCCTGGAAACAGCCGGGGGGCGGCGCGAGCTATGGAGGGGTAGGGGTGGAAGGAGAAGGGGGCTGAGCCAAGCAGCGCGGAGAACGCCGGGAAGCCCCAGGCCCAGGGCTCCTCCCGCGTCCCCCCACACTCGAGTGCACCTGTTTTCGTCCACTTGATCTGCTTCTCTTCCTCCTCCTCTGTATCCCCTGGTGCGCTGCCGCGACTCGGATCCCCTCAAAAGTAACTTCGCCACTTCTTCCGGCAACCCCACCGTGCATCACTTCCGGAAGTGGGCGGGGAGTCGGGGTGACGGAATTCCGGTCCGCCTAGGGCTAGCCTGAACAGCTGCTCCGTGCGGAAGTCTTAGACCCACCGGAAGTTTACCTTCCGGGTAGCTCCACTGAGGGTCGGCAGAAGAGTTCCGGATTCATTCAATCAAACGTTGAGCAGGAGGGCGGAGTCTTAAACCTTCCCGCCAAGCGTTGGGTGGCTTTAGACTCTCCCCTGGGCCTCTCAGGGCTCGCAGCCAGAGTTTCTCCGCATAATCGTCGGGGCTACATCTCCTACACAGTTGATTTAAAGCATGTTTGTCCTTTTATACGTTTTCTGATTTTGGAGGTGCGCTGATTGTTGGTTTTAAATAAATTAAATTACAAACCTAGACCCAGAAAAAATATATTTTATAAGTAATTTGAAGATAGGAAGAAAGTTTTTAAAGTATCATTCCTCTACCAAAAAGAGAAAAATAATAGCTTTTAAAGAAAACTCATGTTTAATGAAAAAAATTCACAACCCTTCCCCCTAAAAAGAAAATAAAAGAAAAAAGAAAAAAAATTGTAAAGTACAACCTAAAAGTTGAGAAATATGTTTGGGCAAACTTCCTGAGGATCTCAAAGTAGAGAGACAGCCTCTCAGTACTGAAAGACTGACTGCTGGGGGGGAGCAGGGAGGCAGGAGCTGGGATATAGGAATTTTGCAACAAAAACCAGATAGTCCGAACGTCAAAAGATTACTGTTTTGTGGAGGAGGATATAGCTCAGTGGTAGAGCGCATGCTTAGGATGCAAAGTCCTGGGTTCAATCCCCGGTACCTCAAAAGAGTACTGTTAATTAAAGAAAACTGGACACGTGAATGAATCTTGTACTTTTCTATGTATGGGAAGATGCAAGAGTCTGCGCTCATTGAACTCATTCCTTTGTTATGCATCTTAGCTGTCTAGGGCCAGTGTCCCGTTCTTTCCCATCCTGAGTCCCCTCAGGGAGCACAGTTAGGGGCGGCTGTAGTAGCTGCAGGCTTGACGGCCATAACATCCTTTGTATACTAATATGGCAGGCGGCATTCTTAGTCCACACTCAGAATACTTAAATGGATCGATAATAGATATTGTTCCAAAGTCTTTCCCCCATGGTAATCAGATCTATATTGAGCATGTATGCATTTTTTTAATGGTAGTATATGCCCCCTGCCGTTTTGTAGCTTGTTCTGTCCATTCCATCATGGCCCTTAAGCTGTGTAATTGTCCATCCAAGAATGTTACCAATAAAACAAGTGGCTAAGACAGGCATCAGAGGATGGCTGAACCAGTGTCTCTGTCACTTCCTTGCTGTGTAATGTTGAGCCAAGCTATTTACTATCCTTGTGCTTCAGTTTGCTCATCTGTAATTGGGAACAAGAGCTCACTGCATTGCCATTATTATCAAGTGAGGTAAAAAGCACAAATAGGGCCAGGCTCATGTAAAGAACCCAGTATGTGAGAGCTATGTTTAATATGGTAAAAGGTAATGTTTTTAACTTTTCACTGTTGGAAAAGTGCAAAAGGCTGAAACAGATGGAAGATGGATGACAGTTTTGGGGCAAGTCACATCACTCTCAGTGTTGCAGAAAGACCAGCCTCTGTATCCCAATAGCCAAACTGAGACCCCTAGACAGAATTTTGGGAGAATCAGAAAAGAATAGCTTTATTGTTTTGCCAGGGAAATGGGAGTCACAGCAGGCTAGTGCCTTAGAGACTGTGAATCCATCTTGGGGTTAGAATTATTCAGTTTAAAAAAAAACTGGACAGAGCAGAAAGATGATAACAATCAGGGTGTTTTGCAGGGGGCTGTATCCTTCCATCTTGATAAGACCTAGTTGACATCATGGGGAAAACTCTGGAGGGACCGTCCATTCTTTTGAGGTTATCAGCCTATGACCTTCTTCCTGGAACACCTTCTGGGTTAAAGTGAAAGAGTGAAAGAAAAAAAAAAACCTAACTGACAAAATGGTTTCTCTCACACTAAAGCACACTGTAGCTTGATTCTGTAATAGAAAAGAACAAATCTGACTCCATATTAGATCTGTTCCTTTGACCTTAACCCCATGCTCTGTTTCCTAGGCTTAGTCTTGCTGGTTCTGCACCTTTTGTAAAAGAACTGTAGCCTGAACTATACAGGATAACCAATTCTCAAGGCTCTAACCTTTAAGGATAGTAACACTTTTCCATTTATATAAAGATAACAAGTTGCAGAATAGAAAATAACATTTGTTTTGCTGGAGATTTACAAGGACATCATGATCTGACCCAAATGGACAGCTACAAAAACAAAGGATTCCAAGAACAAAGAATTCCTACACCAAGAACTTTGCAACAACCAAGCATATCCCCTTCCCTTTTAGTATAAAAGGAGCCTGAATTCTGACTTGGGGAAGATGGTTCTCTAGGACATTAGTCTGCCATCTTCTCATTCTGCTGGCTTTCTGAATAAAGTTGCTATTCCTTGCTCCAGGATCTCATCTGCCGATTTATTGGCCTGTCGTGTGGCAAGCAGAAAGAGTTTGGGCTCAGTGACACTGGGAACCTAAGAGTTTCCAAATCCTGGAGGGTTCAGGTAGAGAGAAAAGATGGTTCAATTCTATTTACAGGTGTAAACTGAAAGTTTTCTTATATCTAGAAAGCATAGATTAAAACTTTCAGACAAAGACCAAAAATTATAACTATACTCATAAGTTCGCTCAGTCCTATGTGATGGATCTATATTCTTAATCTTCTGTTAACAGTTTTATGAAGCCATCAGATTTTCCACTAGAATTCTTTCATTTCTTACCCAGTTCAGCAGTATGACCTGAAAGTCACCAGAAATCTGTACTTGTCAAAAAGTCCCTTCTCTGAATTTTCTTGAAGATGAAGAATTTTTTTTGCAAAAGCATCAGAGTACAAAATAATTGTCCATAAATGACAAAAGACTTACAATGCAATTGAAAAGAAACTTGGCTACTGCTGTGACATACACTAAAATTATGACTAATTATCATTTACCAGGACATACCAGAATTTGAGGAATTTCATATAATTTCCAGAATGCATATTAATAATGTTTACCAATGATACAATCAAGGAAGTTTTTATCAACACTTATTTGACAATGTTTCCCGCTTAACTGAACAATATCACGTAAGCCCAATTAGTTTAATTAGTTTCTTTTTTTAGGTTTATTTATTTTTGGAGGAGGTACTGGGGATTGAACCCAGGACCACATGCATGCTAAGCATGTGCTCTACCACTGAGCTATACTGTCCCCTGTAGAGATTTCTTTAAAGATCTAAAATTAACCTGTTTAAAATTAACCTATAGTTGGCCTTAAGTGATACTTGTGCTTGAATAATGGGAAAAGCCACCCTGAAGGAACAGAAAGCCCTGACTAGATCCAATTTATATGACCACATTGTTTAAGGGTCTCTCTTGCTCGATCTAGCTTGACCACATTGTGCTAGCTTGACTACAGTGTTTAAGGGTCTCTAATTACCTGATCTTGTTTTTGCAAAGTGTTTGTTCCACAGAGCAGAAAGAGCAGGAAGCCAGCAGGAACCCAAGCAGGAAAAGAGCAGCCGATGGAAAGAGGACAAAAAGCCACAAAGAAGACAGATAAATGGACCCAGCAGAGACCCCAAGAGCAGGAGTTCTTACGTCAAGCCACCTGGGTCTTTACACTTGAGTGTCTTTTCCTCTTTTGAGCAATCAAACAGCTTTCACTCTGCCCCTTTGTCTCCACTGTGAATTTTTTCACGGCCAGAAGACACGAACCCACTCTTTGGTGTTCTCCCCTTTTTAGGGGGCTTCCCCACCCGATAACAGAGGTACCATAAAAGTATTATATGTAATGTTGATGACTCTAGAGACATGCCTGTATTAATCAAACCAACAAGCTTAAGCTAACTTTAATGCCAGATATTAATTCAATACTATTTCCCAGATCACGGACTGTATTCATGCCTTTTGAGTGGAAAGGCAGTTCAGAAGATTACTAGACTGAGTACTCAAACAAAGGAGAGAAGGGAGCAGTACTTAAAATGTCAGGTGCCTTTTATCACATGACTTTCATTGGCCTTCTACAACAGATCTTTCCATGAGACCATTTTGGAATTTTGAAGCCTTTGGGGACCTCCACATACCAATTAAAACAGGTGGAATGGTTGAAGATGAGTACGCTCTGAAATGTTAACAATTTAGAGGTTTCTCCAATTCAAAGGATCCACGGAGTTAGCCCTACATATTTATTTTTCCCTGCTAAAACCACTTACCACTGTTGTTTCCAGTAGACCCCACAGGCACAGAGGACTGCTGGCCTTAACAACAGATAGGCCTCAGGTCTTGGCATGTCTCCGAGCACCTGGGCAGGTGCTCCCAAGGTGAATCCTTGTCTTTCATACACATAAAGCTTGAATTCTTCCTGTTAATCTGGTGGACCTAGGGCAGGC